CTTTTCAAAAGTATCTGTGTTGTTCAAAGAAAACCTGATACTATCGCCAACCTTTTGTAGACCCTCAAAACTACTTGTATTATCTGGAAATTAGTAATCAGGCAATTCACACAATGGATTAGTCATGGATTTCAGGCTATCTAGTTTACTAGTCTTGTTTTGTTTGCCTATTTGTTTAAGGCAATTTATGTACTATACTCTTATCTATAAGAACCATGTATTCAAACATAAAGATGAAATACAAATCTTGTTTTTTTTGTTATTGTACTTGTGTTATATATTCAGTTTACCAGTGATGCACGAACTAAGTCGCACAACCTAGCATGTTGCCCCGCCTCGACGGGGGTGTGACAGCATGAATCTTCATTCAAGAACAAACCACATAAAATTCCTTCAAATATTTATGTGGGTCTTTGTTTTCAAGACCTTGAAATGTGAGAAGAATATGTCTCAGCCTAGATTTGAGCTCGAAGTTATAGGCTTCTAGAAAAGTAATGCAAAGAGGTTGATAATTGACCTCTTGGGTGGCCCATTCTCTCAGAGCCTTTGCTGCTTCTTCTCCTGCTTCACTTATGACTAATTTTAAGATTTTGAAGATTCTAGTGTTCTAGATTTTTCATATTAGGTTCCGGAAGGAGTGATCAAAAGGTGGGGAGTATGTTCTAAAGGAGTGATCAAAAGGTGAAGATGGGGATCCTGAATACGATGAACCAAAGAATATTTCACTTTCATGGCATAAAATTATTAAAAGCATTGTGTCCCCAAAACGGCACCAATATGGTAACACGATGTTGTGGGCGTATTAAGCAAATAATATTTCACTACTGGTTCTACTACAACATAGCATAGGGAAGCAAGGTCGAATCCTCAGGGACACAGCCTAATAGTCCATGCCTTTTTACATCAGACACATTTTAGGTAATAAACAAAAATTATAAAAAGGGTGTTTTTGATTTAAACTAAAAACAAAAAATTGCAGTGAAAATTAACTAAATAAAAGTGAAAAATAAAAACGAATTCAGTTCTGCTCCGACTTTGCTACAAAAAATTACATCATGTAATCACCCCAGATCTTGTTATTCAGAATGCATTCTATATAAGCTGGTACTGAGAAAAAGTAAAAAAAACTATAGTATAATCCTTTTTACCTAGTTAAATTTACCAAAACAAGCTCTTCACTTAACCATAACTTTTATATTGTCTAAATTAAACAAGCTCTAAATTAAGATCAGAAAAGTTGCATTAAGTTTTATGTAAAATTTCTAGCAATACCCAAATAGTTCTCACATGCTCAGAACCGTAAATATATGATATTTCAGTTTATATCATAGTTAAATTCCAAACATGAAACCAATATGATACTTGTTACTTATTACTAGTTGACAAGAACAATTACAGATTCTATTAACTGATTAACTAGAAAGATAAAACCCTAGCTAGCTGATCATACTAATAAGATTTTAAAATCAAACATTCATTATGTTCAAAATTGAAACAACTAGATAGAGTCACACAAAGAAAACCAGATCTGATCACTAATCACTTGAAAAGTATTTGTCTAATCCAGAACAGAAAACTAAGGTTCTATGGCTAAAAACATATCTAAACTAGTAAAAAGAAACCTTAACTGATTAATGTTCTAAACTAAGTGTAGGAGATGATTCACAACCTTCAGATCTTCAGAAAGTGTAGAAAAGTGGCAGAAATCTCCTTCAAAAGGGTATTCCGTCGCCTGAAACCCTCTATCTCTCTCTCTCATATGATCATGATGGTCGTATTTATATGCAAGACAAAAGCTTCAGGAAAAAAGTTAACAACGAATGTAATTGTAGATATCATATATGCGATCGAAGATATGAAGATTTTTTCTGGATCGGCCCTTAAATGAAGTACGATGCTATTTCTGAAGTTTCGAGAGTTGCATTAAAAAAAATGAGACATAAGAAAATATACGATCGTAGTTTTTGGTTTTTTTTCTCAAGATGGCTTTTTCGACCTTGCAAAACTTCGACACATTTATACAATCACGGAAATGGAAAATGTGATTGTAGAAATTAATATTCGGCTCAATTCAAACGTGATTCTTCAGTTTAAGCCTTCTAAGTCATTCCTTACCATTGTTCTTCAGTTCCAACTCCATTTAGCCTCTAAATATGCATCCAACTACTCCTAAAATAACGCTCCACTCAAATTATCTAAAAATGACACAAAAATGCTAACAATATGGGAATTATAATTAAAGACATGAGCTGAACATTATTTAAACTAATGACATGAAAATGTACAAAATATGATTCTAAATGCTAATAAAAACTACCCTAAAAGATGCATAAAATGACATATATCACATGCTAAGGTAACTGAGCAACTCTCTGTTATAATAGCGGGTAGTTCTTCCTCGTCATCATCCTCCGGGGGTAGAAGACCTGCGATGTGCATGGCCTGTTACATCTGATCCGTTTTTCGACCATGCCTCAATAACTCCTTAACAACCTCGTGCAGCTCCTCCCAAATAATGTCATGAGACAACTACAAAGAAATTTGTGGCCAAATAAGGTTCATGAAGGAATTTTGATATACCAAAGCTTCAAAAGTAGTACAAAGTAACTTGTTTTCTGAGAGGTAAATATACATAGAGGTTCCAATTGAACATACAAGAGAATATCAAATAGGAAATAAGATTTTTAATTGAGATATACAGAATAAAAAAAATTATGATATTATTGATTAGAAGTAATGAATAAACAAACATTTGTGGAAGAAGAAAATTGCATAGCAATGGCTTTGTAAGTGAATGAGGAAGTCCACGATTCGTGTGAGTAAGTGTAAAGTTTAATAAGAAAATCAACGTGAACGAAGAGTGATGTGATAGACTTTGAAAAAGCATATGGAGAGGAAGACGACAGAAAGCATATCAGTAAATAGGTAAGCGATGGTAGGCGGAGGCAATGAGTCATTACGACCGATTAGAGAAAGAGAAAGCCAGGAGTAAGGAACAAGTAAACGTTGAACGTAGAGAAATCGCAAATAGAAGCGCATGTGGGATGAGCTAACAATTACGGGTTGTTTGATTGTTGTTGACCCGAGTAAGATCTAACTGAGTCAGAGTATGATTGGGTCTGAAATCTGACTGAAACTATGTTGTTTGATTATAGGTCTGACTGGTTGTGCTAAGTATTGAAAAGGACAATTTACCCTTATGTTCTATTAGTGGTATGACAAAAGAACCAAGAACACACAAATACTAAAAAATGTCTAATATTAGGGGTGGGGGCATTTCAGACCTCAACTTGAGATGACAAAAACACACAAATACTAGCAGGTTTCTATTAGTGGAAATTGAAACTAACAGATCAAAGGAATGGAATTTAAAACAATTGGTTTCTTGTCTAATTAGGCAACAAAATTATATTTTCTAAAGGTATACAATATCTTAGTCCTAATGACCTAAAAAGAGATATTGTGCAGCCAAAAATGATTTTAACCTGCACCTCGTGGTTTTAACTTAATTTATAGATCAAGACATTTTAAAGAAAGAAAACTCTAGAAACCACTATTTTGCTTGTTAACTACTTGTTTTACTTCATTTATATACATAATAATGGTTTTTTAATGCAATTACATTAAAACAACAAAAGATGGTCTTTTAATGCTATTCAATTAAAAACAACATACTGATAGTTTTAATAATCTATAATCCAACTTGCTAGCTACTTTAAGAAATCAAAAGCATCATTAACAACAACCATTTTGTAGCATGCTTAAATATTATATGTTAAAGGTTTAGAAGATATCTAACAATCAAGTATTTTAATATCCTTGCTATCCATACATCAAAAATTACATAAATGAATCCTCGAAACATATAAATACATCTGAAAGGAAAAATCTGAACCAAAAGAATAACCAGATGAGACATTTTGTTGAAATCCTCTTGCATAGCTGTCTGGCCTTGCATATTGTACACACTTTTTAAATACATCATAATCAAATCTCATCTCAACTCCATTCTTGATTTCATACATACAATCAGATATAAACGGATGGTCTGATTTCATATAGATACAAATCATATCTTCAACTGATTTCAGAAAAAAAAAAAAAAACAAAAAACAAAAAACAAAAAACAAAAACAATTCCTGTTGTTGTGGAGGTCAACACTGCTAAAGGCTGTGAAGGCCGACGCCGAAGTCGCTGGAGGAAGCTGCTGATTTCTAGTTGTGTGGAAGAGCAGTGGTGGAATGGAAGAAGCGATGTCGGCTGTTGAATAGAGGCATGCATTTTTGTGTGTTTTCTTTTAGGACGCAAGGGCACAAAGGGAGCAATGGCTTTTTTTTTTTTTGGGTCCACAACAATTTTCATTTAGACCAACTCAGGAGATTGGTCAGCTATTACTAACCGAGTCAACTAATTTTGGGCTTTACCAAACAGCTTGATCAAACGGAGTTAACCGAAACTTGCTAACCGGACCCAATCAACACATTATCAAACAACCCCTTAGTCTCATCTTTTATTTTACTAAAAATGCTAGGATTTTAAATAAAATATAAATTTCAAAATACAATCAATTTGTAAATACTTTTTTAGGTATACAATTTTAAATAAATAAAAAAACTTTGTTGGGGTCATAATAATACTCCCGGATTATTTCCTAAATTAAAGTTATCCTTTTCGAGGTAACTTCGTGATTTGTTTTAATTCTTTCGGTTTGCAAAATCAGTACAATCTCCGTGTGTGTGAGAGAATGTATATATGTGTGTGTGGAGAGACGGAAATCTATTTCTTCTCCACACTATCATCGCTCTTACATCGTCAATTTAATTCCATATATTTTTTTTATTCTTTTATTTGAAAAATCAAATACAGGATCGTCTCTGTTGCATATTCAATATTGAAGTTACTGGTATAGTGGTATACTGTACTTCTCATCTCTCTCAGTCTCTAAACTTCCTTAAATAATAGTTGAAGTTACTGGTGTTTCTATTCATAGATTCGAAGACATGGGACGAGCGAAAGTACACATGGAACCCATCAACAACAACAAGAAGCGCAAAGTGACATTCCACAGACGTAAAAATTGCCTTATCAAGAAGGCTCTTGAACTCACAACCCTCTGCGATGTCAAAGTCTCCATGATCATCCGCACCGATCAACAAGAACCAGAAATCTTCCCTCCTGATCCCCGTCAAGTTAAAGGTTTGATTGATCTTTACAAACGGCAGAAAAGTATGGATCCTGGGAAGATTCGGTATTTCAGTTTATCAGATTTTTTCAACGGGAGAAAGATAGATATTGAACAAGAACCTGCTAAGGAAAAAAAGAAGAACATGGAAGCAAAGTACCCGACGTGGTTTGAGTTCTTGAACAATTCCTCCGGAGTGCAGTTAATGGAATTCGCTTTTGGGTTGGAAGCCAAAATCGATATTGTTAAAAGAAAGATTGAGTCTCTCAAGGCTGACAAGATAAAGAATCTTGATCATCACGTTAACTACCCTGGAACCCTTCTTGATGTTCATAGTTCTTTCGTTACACCATCGATAAACCCTAGCCCTTTGCCAATGAACTACAATCATCCTGTCTTTGATCCTTCACATTTGTTTACTGATCAGATTAACTTTAACATGCATCCAACAAGCCCCAATTCAGAAATACTGAAGTTGCTTATGAACGACAATGATGACTGCTACGATAATGAGAATTTCGGACTACAACCTGAATTACCAACGATGATCCCAATGAATTACAACGATCCTGTATTTGCTGATCAAAATAGTTTCAACATGCAATCAGAAAACCCTATTTCAGAAACGTTGAAGTTGGTGTCGAGAGAGAATGATGATTTCTCTCATTATGAGAATTTCAGCCTCCAACCTGAACCACAAACGATGATCCCAATGGGTTACAATGATCTTGTATTTTCTGATCAAAATAGTATTCACATGCAATCAGAAAACCCTAATTTAGAAACATTGAACTTGGTGACGAGGGAGAACGATGACTGCTATGATTATGAAAATTTCAGCCTTACGCCTGAAACATCAACGTTTGGGCTTCCATTTGAGACACCTAAATGGCCGTCATTTATGCACATGAATCCAGTCTCAACGTATGAGTCTTCTTCCCAAATTACGGAGTACAGCGCAGGAGCAGATGGTAATGATTATCATTACATAGTTTAAGTGATTCTTTAATTTTAATGTTAACATTTCTGGTGGATAATCTTAACATAGGTTGTTATGTATTTTTGTTCATGTCTGGCTCACGAACAGTATATCATATGTTTTCTTTTAATTGATTGGATCATATTATCTTAATATTTTACATGTTTTTGCATTTCAATATCTTTTGTTAATTAAATAAATGTTTGGAAAAATATTGATGATTGGATAATGTTCTTTTGTATGCCTATTTTTTATGTCTCATGTGTATAATATTGGATAGAGCCTAAACATCTTGATTGAATGTCATTGTTCTGTTTTGTCAATTTTCGAGAAAAGGTTTGTACTCATTAATCTGACCAGTTTTCAACCTAAAACCTTCGGTAATGAAACCACAGGAACTTGATCCATGAAATCAACATTGCTATGATTTGAAAAAATCCAGTGAAATATACAAGTCTCATTTAATTCCACATTGGTTAATTAAGCAATTCAACGTTGCCAACCCATTTAATTTTCCTTTTGTTATTTATCCTTAAGAGAAAAAAAAATTAATGTCATAAATATTAGTGTACTTTTTATTTCTCTAGAGCAACATACCATTTTTACGGTTAAAAACTTCTCATTTGGTTCTTATATAGTACGGTCTATAGATTAGTTATATAAAATCAAACTCATAAAAAATTATTATACCATTGAAACTTTGTTGAAGTGATCATAATTATCAACTTAGTTATATTATTTTTATGTTTAATTTTTAGTTTTATACATTTAAGCTTTTCATTCAATCCTATTCAATTTTATTTTAGTATTTATCTTTTCATTCATAAATGGATGAAGGTCACCTACATCATTTGCATATGTTTGAGTGATTAATATATCAAAGCAAAATGTTTTTTTGTTAAATCAAGAAATATGAATGTATTTACATAAATTTACATATTATAGCATCATACTTAAATTTATTATGGCATTGTAGTCTCATCAAACACTTGTTCTGTTGCCCTAATTTTGAAATATTTTCATATTACTTGAAGGCATGTCAAGACAGCTAAATAAGACATCATGAGGCAATTTTGACAAATCAATGATGAAGGCCATCTTCTCATAAGCTATTTGTATCAAAAAATTACATATTTACCATTTATTACTTTAGGTACAATGAAGTGTACAATGATCAGATCAGGATGTTGTTCATGTAAAGATGCTAAAGTGGTGTCTTGGATAATTTTCTTTAAAGTACAATGTTATAATAGAAAATGTAAATGGTCCATAATATCACACCAACAACGAAAAACTTTCTATAATCCCTTTAATTGTCCTATTAATTTCCATATGCCAACAATTCCCATCCAACCAAATGCGAGACTTCATAAGGGCTATAAAAGATAACTCTATTTAACAAGTAACAAAAAGGCCATTGCAATAAATCATATAAATTACATTGCTATTTTTTGCAATTTAACTCTCAATAGAATGCAACGTACCTTGTAAGAACCCCGTGTTATGCACATCATTCTAACATCTTTAAAAGACATCTCTTAACTCCTATGTAGCCAAAAGCTTTATTTAATACAACAAAAGAATTATATTTCGCTGATGAGTTTAAATAAGAATAAACATTATAGATTATAAATGTTTTACCCCTGACATTACCAACAACCTATTTGTTGTTATTATATCCAACACACAACGAAGTCCATATCTACACCTTATCAGGTCAATAAAACCTTCGACCTTCGCTTTTTACATATCAACCACATAAGAAAAAAACTATTAAAGATTAAAAAATAAAAATTAAAATCCATGGGGTAGGGGGTAAACAAATATATACATGTAAGTGGGAGAGAGGGTTGTGACCCGTAACCCACTCAAGATAAATCAATTTAATGTGCGTATTTACATAACTGCTCCACTAAAGAAAGGTTTGTTGCTTATTGCAGGAGTCACATGTACCACCTAGACCCAAGTAGAATGCCTTCTATTTTTAAATTTTACATATAGCCACTTTGTAAGTGTGATGTTCTTTGTAACAACTCATGTTATAAATAAGCATCAGCAACAACGTCTGTAGATTTTAAAAACAATAAAAAATATCAGCTTTTTGAAATGTAACATCCTGTTTCATGTCGTTTTCATTAAAAAATGACGATCAAGGATAAAGAGGTAATTGTATAAACTCGCAAACTTCATTATTGAAGAAAACTATCTTAAAAACTCCAATCGATGATAAATACAGGAACCTAACATCTATATATACTAAACAATTAGGATTCCTATCAAACTAGAATTTCCTTATAACTTAAGGAGTTCTAGAATAACTTGGAGAACACACCAAGGCTTGGACAACACTCCGAGTAAATAGATGATATGGACAGAACACGTATACACCACATCTGTCCATCATAAATTCGCCAGCAATCACCCCCTGAATTTCTGAGTCGAGGGTAATTCTTTCACGCCAAGCAACGCTCTCATCTCTGTGGACCTTATTCGAGCTAAGGCCTTCGTAAGTGGATCTGCTCATTGCTTATCTCCTGAAACATGCTCAAGAATCACTTGCTCATTTTCAACACGTTCTCGAATGAAGTGGAATCGAGTGTGAATGTGCTTGCCTCTTCCATGAAAGATAAGATTCTTTGACAATGTTATTGCTGATTTGTTGTCTATGCGAATCAGCACCTTCTGTTTCTTCATTCCTGTCAGCTCAGCCAATAACTCCCTTAACCAAACCTACTGACACGCAGCTGCAGTAGCTGCCATGAACTCTACTTCACATGATGAGAACGCTACTGTATCTTGCTTTTGGGAGCACCAAGTGATAGGTGAGTCACAAAGGTAGAAGACATGACCTGTTGTACTTCTGCCATCATCAATATGCATATTGTGACTACTATCATTGTAACCTATCAACCTCATATTTTTACTTCGTTTGTATACAATCCCAAAAGATGGAGTACCACGCAAGTAACGAAGAATTTGCTTAATAGCGCGTGCATGAGATTCTCTTGGGCTTTGCATATTACGGCTAACTACTCCAACCGAATATGCTAAATCTGGATGAGTGTGTAAGAGATATCGTAAGCAACCTACTACATTTCGATAATAGGTAGTTTCAACTTCTGGTTCATCTTCAGATTTTGACAACTTTAGTCCTGGCTCCATCGGACATTGAGTTGCATTACACTCTTGCATGCCTGCCTCTTTTAGAATCTTCATAGCATAACTCTCTTGCATGCCTGCCTCTTTTAGAATCTTCATAGCATAACTCTCTTGCTTCACCTTTACACAACCATATTCTTGCAATACTTTAATACCCAAGTAGCAAGTTAGTTCACCAAGGTCTAACATTTCAAACTGTATTACCATTAGTCTCTTGAATTGGTTTATAAACTCTAAGCTTGTTCTCGTTATGAACAAATCATCTACATAAACCGCAACTATTATGTACTCTCCATTTGCAACCTTTCTATAAACCGCATTTTCTTGCATGCACCGTTTAAAACCCATATTCTTCAACGTGTTATTAAGCTTCAAATTCCATGCACGTGGATATTGTCGAAGACTGTATAACGCTTTTGCTAATTTGTAGACTTTTGTTTCTTCACCTTGTTTCACAAAACCTTCTGGTTGGCACACATACACTTCTTCCTTTAAATCTCCATATAAAAATGCAGTTTTTACATCTAAGTGATAAATCTTCCATCCGTTCCTGGCTGCGAGAGCAATCAATAATCTTACTGTCTCGAGTCGAGCTACTTGCGCGAATACTTCATCAAAATCAATGCCTTGCTCTTGTATATAGCCTTTTGCTACTAGACGCGCTTTGTACCTTGTAATCGCTCCATCCATATTTCTTTTAATTTTGTACAACCATCTTAACCCGATAGGCTTAACATCTTTAGGCGGAGGAACTAATTTCCATGTATTATTTTTCTCGATGGAGTCAATTTCGGCCTTCATTGCATCGAACCAATTCTTGTTCAATTTGGCTTCCTTAAACTTCTTCGGTTCTTCATCGAATGACAACATTAAATGATCCACATCTAGCTCGTAGTCATTTAATCTTCTTGGCAACACTGAAGTTCGAGTGAACCGCCAAAGTGGGACAAAACTTGTATCATTATTTTGATCATCAACAGATTGTGCTGGGCTGCTATCATCACTATAAGTTTCCTTGGTTTGGGTGGTTTGAGCCGGATCAGTGAACTGTTCGGTTTCTGTTGCAGTTGGGCTTGAACCACCATTTATCTTGTGTTGCTTGACAATTACTGCACAAGACCGTAAATGTACCCGGTCCATTTCCATCTTGATTTTTGGGTTCATTATTCCATTTCCATGTCTTATTTTCATCACAAATTACATGGGCACTAATAATAATTTTATTTTCTTGTAGGTTATATAACCGAAATCCTCCCGAATTGGGTTCCTTTCCTAAATGTACCAACGGTTGTGACCTATCATCAAGCTTCTTCAAGTGTTTTGAGACTACTATTTCATATGCAACACAACCAAATACTTTCAAGTCTTCAAGATTTGGTTTTTAACCATAAAATTTCTCAAATGGTGTAGCACCTATCAATGCTCGAGTAGGTGTACGATTTATGATAAACGTTGCATGTCATACCGCTTCGCCCCAAAAGTGGTTTGGAATATCTTTTGCTTTCATTAGGCACCGTGTCATCTTGAGTAGTGTCCAATTTCTCCATTTGACTATACTGTTTTTTTAGGTGCATAAGGAGCCGTCAACATACGTGAAATCCCTTCTTCATCACAAAAACGGTTCAACTTGGTTGATGTGAATTCTCCACCTCTATCCGTATGGAAAGTCTTGATCTTTTTACTGGTTCGTTTTTCAATTGATATCTTGAATGTTTTAATAATTTCGGATGCATCACTTTTATGCTTCAAAAGAAAAGACCACATATATCTACAATAATCATCAATAAGAACTAGAATATAAATATTACCCGCTTGGGTGGGGGGATCAACCGGTCCACAAATATCTCCATGCACCATCT